TTTGCATCCCCCACCCCCACTGGAAACTTTCAACACTTGCTAATTTCTGCCCTCCATAATTCTCTATTACTGTGCCATCTGTAATCATCCTAAGGGTTCTAGTAAAACTCTCAAAGCAATTTAATAAACATTCACTTTCACCGTTAAAAAACTCTGACCAGAGCAGTTAACTAAGGCAGACTAAGGCTTTTTTTTTTGGCTGTCCTCAACTTTCGAGTGGAACATAAATAAGAAACAAGCCATTAGGAAGGGACCTCTTCAATTTCCTCTCAAAAAACCAGCTTATCCACTTTCCACTTCTGCAGTTCTAGCCAGTAAGAACTCAAGCTCGGACCCAAGGATGTGGAGGCCTCCAAGATCCTCTCTAACCAAAAGCGCTATTGTGTTCCCTTTACTTACAAAGGCAGTGAAGTGGACCAGTGCATTTTACAATTTCCAACAAGGCTTGAGACAAAGAGGGTGTTCATAGTAACCCTCAGCTTTCCAAAAAATTCAGCGTACCCCATTCTAAATATTTCGGTCACATGTAATTTTGTCATATATTCCATGTTTTTATTTTTCAAATCTGGGGAGCAGGATTGGTGTTAAAAGAGTGTCAGAACCTCAAAGTTGGAACTAGCCTTACTACTTTGGACTGGAGTGTGTATAGACCAGTCCAAAGGGTTCAGAAAATGAAAGGAGGTACACGTGGAAAACCTTAGAACACAAGAAAGCACTTTGGAGCTTAGGAAGGAAGGAGGCCAGTAGGATCCAAGAGGCTTCCAGGAACAGGTCAGCTATATGAGCAGTCAAGCAAAACCTGGACTTTGGTCTGGGATGCTAGACAGAGGGCAGGACCTAGGGCAACCCTACTCCACCCCCAGGAGACAAGGGACTCTCTAGAGCCACAGCAAGAAGCCCGCAGTCTGCCTTCCCCAGGCTAGGAGAAAGGGCCAGTCTCCGTCTTCTGTCAGGAGTCTCTTCTCCCTTCCTTTCCCAGTTAGGTTTTTTTTTTTTTTTCTTTCTTTCTTTTTTGAGACAAGGTCTTGCTCTGTCGCCCAGGCTGGAGTGCAGTGGTGCAATCCAGGCTAACTGCAGCTTTGACCTCCCAGGTTCCTAGCTGCTCTTTCTAATCCAAGACCCCACTCTGGCTTGAGATCATCTCCTGAGAGCCCTCCCTAACCCCTCAGGCTGGACCAGCCCCTCGGTAAGTGACCTCCTGAAAACCTCTGCCGTAGCCCACACCCACAGTCTTGTTCCCAGTGGGTTTATGTATCCTTTTGTCCAGCAGCTCCGAGCCCAGCCTAATTCTTTGTATTCTGAGAGTCTTGCCCAGTGTCTGGCACATGGTGGATGCTTAATAAATGCTTGCTAATTTCCATGTACTTTGAAGCATGAAACTTAGATTTGAAACCTGACTCTGCTCTATGTGATCCCAGACAAGTTACATCACCTTTTCCCCTAATTTTCCTCATTTATGGGGTGGTCTTCAAGATTAAATTAAAATAAGAATGTATATAAAATGCTTATTCAAAGTGGTCTGGCGCATGGTGGCTCTCAAATCCTTCCTGTTTCTGATCACTGCCTACCAGAGGTAGAAGGCTGAGAAGGGCTGTCACTCCTCCCCTTCAATCCCACCCCCACTGGTTTTCGGTGGGGTGGGGGTTGGGGGCTTCTGAAATGAGAAGTGCAGAGGGGTGGACTGATACATTACTTCAGTAACAGAGGCCGGGTCAGCCAGGCAACAACACAGGAGACGCCTGTATGCCATTCCCTGTGCTAGGGGAAATAGAAAATAGAATTTTCCAGCAGATCAGCGTCCAGCTGAACCAATTTCCTAAGCTCAGTCACAGAGCAACAATCTTCACAGGCCCAAGAGGGAGGTGCAAGCTCCTGGGGCAGACTGCCTGGTCATTCCCCCTCCCCGTCCCGCCCCACGGGCTGTGCCTCCTGTGGTGTCCCTGTGGCCACTCTATCTTCTCTGGGCTTCAGCTTGCTTACTTGAATACCTACTGTAAAGAGTACCTGAAATAAGGCAGGTAGGTAAAGCTGCCTTCCTCAATAAATGCTAGGGTCAGGAGACCTGTTCACTTTTTATAGACATCTTGCCTAATGTTTCTACTTTATTGGAGCCTCACCAAACACTCATTTTGCAGATGAGGAAAGGAAGGCAAAGTTAAGTTACACGGCTTGATGGGTAAATGGCCGAGCCAGATAGCAAAACCAGCCTGTGCCCTCTCTCATAAAATGAGGATAACAGCACCCACAATGCCCAACACAGAGTAGGTTTGCTGTAAATGTTAACTTCCCTTGTGAGAGTTTCTGCAATTTAGGAAGAGGTTTGGAGAATGAGTCACCAAAGATCTTGCTTGAGAGCAGGGGTTCGAGATGGTTCTGAAGGCAGGAAAGAGGATGATCACGTGGCCCCAGGCTGGCGGGTCACTGAGCACTTGAAAGTCAGTCTGCACCTCACTTCAACCACAGCGGAGGGAAGGAAGAACCTGACATTCGGCGGGTATTTCTAAAGAAAGGTGACTTAACTCCCTTTCTCACACATTTGAAAGAGCACACACAACTTCCAGGGTAAGAGAAACCCCAACCCAGACAGCACCCCATCTCTTCCAACAATCTTTGTCCTACCCCAGGAATTCCTAGCTAGGGGCTCCTTCATGATTCCAAGGTGATTCAGAACCAGCTAAAACACAGAGCCTCAGGTGGAAAATGCCCAAGCAGCCAGATGGGAAAGAAGATTTTTGAGTTTTCCTTTTTCCTCAAACCTGAGGCCTGAGGCAGTACCCCAAGTCACAAGAAAGCAGAGCAAGGCAGGTTTCTGCAGATTAAAACTGATGCCAGCAAATGCTTCCACTTGTCCATTTTCATTTCTTGGGTTTTTCCTATGATGGGAGGGGACTCACCCAGTTGGGGTTGGTTTGGGAGTTTTTTTGGCCGGGGTTGAGGACAGGGCTGTCCTTGTTCAAGAACTAATCTATAATCATCTCCAAAGCAGACTGGCTTGATGCCGAAATCCTTTTTCTAAAAATTACCTGCCCATTACTTTTTTTGGGGGGAGGGGGAGGTAAATGTTGACAGATTTAACAGGATCGCTAAATAAGAGGCATTTTGTTTGTTCAAATACCTTAAGAAGCCGTCTAGCCTCCAAAGCTATGACCACCAGCTGCACCCGGCTGCCTAACCCCTGGACCCACCCCACCACCACCCGGCCCCCGCCTTTCCCTTCTCCTTGTGTTTTGAAGTTTATTTTCCCACATTTAGCCTTGAATTCTTTCCTTCCTTCCCCTGCAGTGCTGGAGCAACAGCTTAGAGGGAAACACTTCGAGGGCACCTCCAGGCTTTATCATCCTTGCCTGCCCTCTTCCCCCTCCAAACAAAGCCCTGTAACAAACTAAACAAAAACTTGTTCTCTAGAGGAATTGTTTCCTCAAGGGAAATCATAAAGTGACCCCCTCCCCATAACACCCCCCCCAGGGTAGATACCCATCAGAAGGAAGCCGTGTAGACTCTTCATGCCAGGACTCCTGCCGCTAGGAGGTAAACCAACCAACCACCTGCTTTAGCTTATCCTCCCCACCATCACCTCCCAACTGCCTCTACCCGGGAAACTGCTACAGGGCAAGAGGCTCTCCACTAAAACCCAACACTAAGCCTACTGGACTAAACCTCCCCTTCCACGGGACCCCTCAGAGGACAAGTCTCCCCACACACCGCTGCCAGCAAACACCTATATGCTTATCTGTATGATGCCCATCGATCTGGGGACAAGGTTTTGATGTTTTCCAAATGCTTCCAACCTAAAAGTGCACGGCAGAAATAAGGAATGAGGAGAATGAGCTCATTCCTATTTCTCACATGGGGAAACAGAGGCTGGAAAATGAGCGACAATTAGATAGGCATAAAGTATTGGGGTGCTGCTGTAGACTAAACGTTGCTCATCAGACCTCCTTTCTGGCATCTTTCACCCTGAGAGCAATAGAACACCTTGGACAATCTACCCCACTCCCCACCTGCTGCAATCTAGAACTTTCACCCATGTCCTGGTCATTCCCTGCACCCGGAGAGCAGGCCAAGAAGAGTTGGTGGATGAAGCTGAGCCCTCGAGAAACTGGTGTAGAGGGCCTCGGTCCCCAAATTGGCCCCAAAGTCTCAGCCAGGATAGGCGGCCCTTTTATCCTAAGTGAGGTCAATATCACCCATTGGGCTGTGCACCAGAAGATAAGCGGTTCCCAATGCCAGCACGGAGGGAAGTCCCCCACCCACCCCAATTCCGCACACTCTCTCCTCCCCACTCGCAAAGGGACTACCCGGGTATTATTCGTTTGTGCAACTTGCTACTTTCACAAAGTTTTACTTCAAGCCCTTGAAGGATGTCTCCGCGAGATAAGCCTTCCCGGAAGCCTGAGCGCGTCCCCAGCATTCCAGGCACCACCCCTCATCCCGTGGGTTCGGGCCCCACAGAGCCCCCAGCTCCTCTCCGGAACCTTGCTGGGGGCGGGAAGATTTTGCCCAGGCTCAGGCTGGGGGACCCTCCCGCTGCTCTGCCGGGTTCACGTTTCTTAAGAAAAGCCTAGCAGGCTTGGCACTGGCCCTGGAGCGGGGAGGTGGAGACACGAGGGGATGGCACCAGGCTTGGCTCCCAGACTCCGGGAGCGTCTCCAGGGAAAGATAAACGCCTTTATCCGCCCCACAGCCTCTTTCCAAGGAGGGAGGTACCGTCACACCCACACTGAAACACTATGGAGCCCAGTTCACCCGGGAATCAACTCCAATTTATCTCCGGCCAAACTAAGTTCCAAAGAGCCTCCGCGCTTGGGGGACCCCCACGTCCCTCGGGTGAACGACGGATCCTCGAAGCCTGATCCATGATGAGACATGCTCTCTCATCACCCCCTGGACCTTCCACAGGGACTGAGGGTCACCCAAAGCTGTGAAGGGGTCTTCCTTTCAGCGCCCCCTAAAGTTCAAGCCAGCTTCAGATGTATATGGGGGTACAGGCGGCGACTGACCTCTAGGATCCTGTCCAGGCCCTCCTGACCCAGGCACGGGAACTCCTTGAGCAGATGCAGCTTCTGTGTGTAGTAGTTTTTCTTGGCCTCCTTCCAGTGTGGCTCCTCCAGCACTTCGAAGATCGCCGCCCCGATGGCCAGGTAGAAGATGATGGCCGAGGTAAGCAGAGGGCCCCGGTCCACCATGGCTCCCCAGCAGCCGCCTCCTAGAGAAAGCCTCTCCTAGCCCCAGCTGCTCCCAGTTCGCCCGCCCGCCAGCCTCTGAAAACAGCTGTTTGAATTTGGAGCTCCGCATGCGCAGTGCCCGGTACTTCCCCCCGCAAGCACCGCTCCGCGGACAAAGTTTCTCGGCCAAGTTGGCCAACGGAGCGCGGGGAGCTGCGTGGGGCCCCACTCACGAGGCCCGGGGTGGGCGAAAACCAGGGGGGCTGAAGGGGCGCCCTGGACCGCGGATGCGTAAGGAACGGGAGGAACACCGGACTTGACTCTGGGCAGACACGTGGACCGCTTCTCCACGCGCCGCTCCTCCGCGCTCCACTAGCTGTATGAGCCGCTCCCGCCTCCGCGCGCCTCTTTAACCAGCGCCCGGCGCGCTCTGACCCCCTCCGGCTCCGGGCTCCGACCCGGGAGGAGCCCAG